CAGAGGGCCCTTGCAGTCGAAGAAGAATGTCATCATCACTTTACCGGAACTTGTGTGTAGGGCTTTGGATTTCTTCTGTGGGGGAGAATTCGCGTGTTTCCAGTTGCAGCCATTCTCTGAGTCTTCTGTTCCTCCGTGAGTTGATGTGGATCCCACTGTGGGCAGATTTTGCGGTACAGGAGGTGTCTTGTCACAATGGTCACTTATTCGCATCAAAAGACTAATTTCTTCCACAGTGATCCGTCGGTTTGCCCGAATATAACCATCCAATGCAGCAATAACATCAGGAGTGATGACACGATGAGCCTGTCCTGGGCGAGCATCATCTTATAGTGACACACGTCCCTCTCGGAATCTCTTATGCCACGCCAGCACACGCGAACGTGACATGCTGTGTTCGCCGTAAACAACAGACATGCGACGATGAATTTCTCGTCCTCCTACTCCTTCAGCAGTCAAAAAGCTTCGCTTCGCTGTTCTTCTTTACCCGCCTGCATTACTGATGTTGGACGACCAAACGTAGCACTAACCTTACTTCCAGCACAATAACAAACGACTAGTGTGCAAGGGCACGTTGTCACTGTGCTTTCCCGAGTCCCCACCAGATGTTCGTACCGTAAGAAAGTTCTAGTGTTACCAACTTGTGCGCCGTGTGAGTTATGCGTGGTGACCCGTTTTCATTTGACTGCCCCTTATACATAAATTTATTAAAAAATTCATCTTCCGCGTTTTAATAAAAATTTTGATCCATTGATAATTATGTACTGACATGACGCTCTTAAAACATTTTCTGTTTCCGTCGACCAATATTTTTATAAACTTACATTCTGTACGAATATTTTTTACAAAGAATTTCTCTATACCTTTGGACAAACTTTATTTTTTACAATAATATAATTATTTTCAAAACTGTATTTTGGTCACATGACCATCAACAGGTGAACTGGCTATTCGTCTGACTTCTTTTCTGCGCAGACTCTACTTAACGACACTCGTGTGTTCGAAAATTATTATGGAAATAATTACATCCTCCCTCTATATAGTTATATATTTATTATATTGCCACGTATGAGGGGTTTAATGACCAATAATAACGGGTTTTGGATTGGATTTACTGCCACTTATATTTCAATTACAGTCGGTTATGACAGCTCACAGGCAGCCTCCGTGGTCTAGTGGTCAGAGTTCCTCGCTACAGATCCAGAGGTCCCGGGTTCGATTCCCAGCGCCACCAGATTTTCTGATATGTAGTGGGTCTGGAACGGGGGACACTCAACCTCGTGAGGATAAATGAGGAGCTATTTCAAGGAAATAGCAGCCTCGGTCTAGAAAACCGAGATTAACGGCCGTGGGGATCCGTTGCGCTGACCACGTGACACTCTGTATCCGAAAAAGTTGGAACTAACTTCGCCGACAAGCGGCGGTCGCTTGGTCGGTATAGTTCGCTTGCGGACTACAGGCCACGGAGTTTTTTATGACAGCTCACAATCAATGACTGCATATGACTCGCTCCGTTCCTC